ATGTTGTAATTATGGAAATGAATCTTTCATGCAAGAGATTTATACTTTTTGGACGGTTTTAAATTTTCTCCTAGAAAATCTTTCTCGATTTTTATGCATTGGCTGCAGCTGGTATGCATAATACATACAAGTATTCATCAGTTTGGGTTGTTCTATGTGAAGAACTAATTGGATAAACTAAATAGTGTTGATTTGTACTGTATCTGTTTATCAACTATTGGTTATGATGGTGCAAACTTGTTTTATTTATTCATGTTTTTTTAAATAGAGATTTTAATATTTGTTTCATTTCTAATTACGTGTTCGATAGACAATAAATGATTAATCATGCAAAGTGGACTGCAGAATTATTGTTGTTCTTGTTTTTGGTCTTTGCTTTTTTCTAAAGAGGGATGGCGTAACAAGAATTAAATGGCGATTTGTGATTTAAGGGCTTATTTTGCCTTTGCCTTTTCTAGGTGTTTTGTCTCATTGTAGAGGACTTCTTGTTCTCTTGTTGTATCTTTGTTTTATATTAATAATTCTCTTTTGTATTTCTGATAATAGATGCTATGTCAGTGCTGTATATGTTCTGTATCTTCATTTTGTTTAAAATATAAATAGCAGAGTTAGTTCAGGTTTTCTGAAATTCAAATACTGCGTCATGTGATTCAGGGAGAATGGGTAGGAATTAGGATCCCAAGTAGAACTCAATATTTAAAATTTCTAGCTGGTTAAGAATATTGTTCTGAAATCTTTTTTAGAATATCGTAATAATAGTGGCAAAATGTTATTCTTTTTTCAGGCGAGCTGCTTTTGCACTCTGCCGAACCGATGTAGTTGCAGAGACTGTCAAAAACCATGAACTTGAGATTTCCACTCTTGCCGCTTTATCATCTCTGAAGGTATGTACACATTATCTGTTGTTTTGCGGGGTTGGTGTGATGTTTTCAAATGGTATGCTAAGATAAAAAAGGAGTCCAACTTCTCGAGTTTGGTTTGCTTAGTGCAAAGCTTGGTAGTATTCATGGGTCACGCTTGAGTCTAAAATTCATGGTTATTAAATGTTTGAACAAACCTCAATCATCTCCATACTCAGATTGATCTAGCTCGCAAGTACTAGTAATTTTGTAAAAATTGTAATTTAATAGATCCATTTTTGTTGGTAATGTGTAATTTCAAAAAATTTCACTTGATTTTTTATTTTTTTATGCTTACTTGCTAAAGTTTCAGAAGACCTGATCCTGTTGTGAAATGCCTGGTTCATTTTCTACTTTTGTTACATTATAATAGCTAAGTTTTGAAAGCTGTCTTGTACCTGAAAAGCGAAGTCTCAACTGAAGTACAAATGAAAATACTGTAACCATTGTACTTCTGAGTGTTGCCTATATACTCTAGTAAACTATAACATCTTTTAAAGAAAGCAAATCAGGCTGAGCCATCTTAGAATCTCAATTTTTTGTTTTCCAATTTTTTGCCATATGGTTAAATGTTTTTTATGAATTCTAACTTTTCTTATTTTATTTGTAGGTGACTTCCAAAAACGATCAAGCACAAGGCTGATGCTTCAAAACCCTATATATTCCTTCCTGTTTTAGAATTTTTTTTGGATTCCTTTATTGATTTTCCTTTTAATTTTTGTTCAATTACTTATTGGTTTTCAATGGATGGATGTTTAAAACTTGTCTCAATTAATGTTTTGAATGGAATGATTGTAAAGTTTGGGATTGAGCAGGAAAATGTGATGAATTTTAATGTTATATTTAGGTTGGGTTGAATGAATTTTGTTTAATATTGGATTGAATGTTTATAAACAAAAATTGATTGTTCAAAAAAAAAAGAGATTCAGCGACTAACTAATTAGTCGTTGATTGTTTAATGTCTTTTGGCGACAAAATATTTGGTTGAGAAAAGTTTTGGCGACTAAATAATTGGTTGCCAAATTCTACACTTTTGCGACTAAAATAATTGGTCGGCAATTCCTTACCTTTTGGCGACGAAAATAGTTGGTTGTTGATTTTTTGCTTTTGGCGGCAAACATATTTGGTGGGGAAAATATTATTTTTCGCGACCAAAGTGTTTTAGCAACTAAATGAATTAGTTGCGGTAATGATATATTTAGCGACCAAAAATTTAGTCGGCAAATCTAATTTTTTTCCTGACTAACAAAAGTTTTGGTCGCCAATTACCTTTGCTGACCCTCAATTGGCGACCAAAGTGGCGACCAAAAAAATTAGTTGCGAATGACTTTTGCCGACTAAAAATAGATTTTTGCCGACAAAATATTTAGTCAGCAAAAGTGTAATTTCTTGAATATTAATATTGCCGACCAATCTTTTTGGTCGTGGAATGCATTACCTACCAAATTTTTTGGTCGCGGAATGTGACAATTGGCGACCAAATTAGTTGGTCGTGGAAATGGGCGACAATTGCTGACCAAACTATTTGGTCGTTGAATGTGCGAATTGGCGACTAACATGTTTGGTCGGGAAAATATGACTTTTCGCGACTAAAGTGTTTTAGCTACTAAATGGATTAGTCGCAGTAATTATATATTTAACGACTAAAATTTAGTCGGCAAATATAACTTTTTCGCGACTAAAAATTTTTTTTAGTCGCTAATTACTTTCCGCGACCCTCAATTGGCGACCAAGGTGGCGATCAAAAAAATTAGTCGCGGATAACTTTTACCGACTAAAAATGGACTTTTGCCGACCAAATTTTTAGTCGGCAAAAGTGTGAATTCTTGAAGTGAGAGGTAAGTGAGGAGAGAGAATTTTTAACAAAGGTAAACTTTCCGTTACTTCTTTACAGTGGATTAATTGATAATGTTCTCTGACGCAGAGAATTGCTGTCAATATGTTATTAGTTAAAAGTACTACATATACCCTATTTGCATATAATAATTTTTCCTTGTTTGGGAAACAACGGTTTAACTAAAAAGTCAAAAAATTATTAAAAAAATTAAAAAATTAATAATTCATATCAAAAAGTTAAAAATTTTATTTGTTCTCTACTTTTTACACATCTTTTCATAAAAAATCATTCTAAACATACTAATTTTTTTTACATCACATTTTAACTAAAAAATTAAAAAATTACTAAAAAAACATGTTCCCAAACGAGGCCTACGTTTAACATTCAAAGTCTAATAATATAATGTGACAATTATACAATAAATCTAACAACCCAACAATCACACAAGAAAAACTCAAAACAATTACAAGGAACAAAAGTTTAATTAGATGCAAATAAAAAAATAAAACACTTACCTTTTGGGCCCGTCTGTTTTAGGTTATGTAGATGGAAGGGGATTAGGATGGTGGAGGTGTTATTTAGTGTTGTGTTTGTTTGTAGAGTTGGGGAGGGAATTAGAATGGTGGAGGTGATATAGATGGAGGTTGGAGAGATAGTATTAGAAAAATAGTGAGGGGATTAGAAATTTTTTTATTTTTTTATATTGGGAATTTTTTTTATAAATATTAATGTTTAATTTTTTATATATTTTTTATTATTTTATATAAAAATAATTTAATAATTCTTACACTAACAACTATTATAAAAACAAACACAATTTTACTTAATCCCCTCACTATCAATTCTCTTACTAACAATCCCCTCACTATTAATCCCCTCCATTCTACCTCTGAAAACAAACGGGACCTTTATGTTATGTTTGATTTATTAGAATGAAATAATTATTGTATCATAATATTTATTCTTATTTTTGGTTCACCATTTTTGGTTCACCAAAAAAGGTTAAGAAAAATGTTCTTCAAATGAAATAAATATTGAAGCTGAGAAATGATAATTCCATTATAATCTATTTTAATTTCAATAAATTAAAACATTACCTTAACAAAATGTATTACCTCCTAGTAAAATACAAAAATGGTAAAAATCTCAAAAATTCTATCAAAAATCTCACATGGGCATGAGACCCACATTGTATGGGTCCCACGCCTATGTGAGTGAGACATTTGATAAAACTTTTAGTAGAATATTTTGAGGTTTCTAGCATAACTTTTTAACCTTTAAACTAACTTCATGACTGTCTCTGTACATGGGAAATACATACGATACCATCTTGTATTTTCAAAAAAAATAGTAGAAGAAAATTTTTTTTTTTTTAAAGAAAGGATGAATTACATTCACCTCTCAAAAAATAGATAATAGGGGTAAGTAAATAATTTTATTTATCTATTAACTCGGTTTTCATTTTTAAGTTTATTTTAAATTAAATAGTATAAACGCAAAATTGAAAATTTGTTAAATAATATAGTTGTTAAAAGAGAGTAACATAGATAGAGTGCATTCTAAAATTTTTAAATAATTATTAAATATTTTGTATAATATGTGAGATTGATGAGGGTTATATGTGAGGTGATTCTACATCTATACAAATATTTTATTAAATATTTAATAATTTATTTCAAATTTCTATCATTTTTATTTTGCAAACTTGTAAAGAGATTATGACAAACAATTTGCCAAAAAATGGGGAAAACAAATGTAATGACAGTGACATAATGAAACCATATGATATACACCAATATTCTTATATATTAAAGAATATTTTGAGAAGGATGGAAAAAGTTAAGGAAGAAGGCTCAAAACCAGAACTAAAAAATTGAGGATGACGAACCCACGATGTTTGATTTGTAAATCAACAGTTTCAATCCAGTTGTCATCTCCATGCGCGGCTCTCCAATCAATACGCAATTACGACCTGTTCCACTACTTGGCTTTTGTACAATTATTTGGCTTGAGAAGTGGGTTTATTTTTTAATTTTTTTTAATTATTTTAATTTAGAATTAAAGTTTAATTTAGAGAGAATTTTTTTATTTTTTTAATTTTATTAGAGAAAAAATATAATTAATATAAGTTAATATAATATTTTATTTTATTAAATTAAAAAATTCATTTTTTAAATTATTTTAATCAAAAAAAAAAATTCTCAAATTCAACTTCCCAAACATAGGATCTATAAAGACTACCTCGTTTCCACAAACCACTTCATATTCATATCCTTATTCTCTTCTTCTCTCCTAAATCCCAAACAAAACCCACTCACTGTGAATACCAAATTCTCACCATCCCAACTCTTCTCTGTTCCATATTCAAATAAAATCATGGGTTTACAAGGAGATGAAGAAACAGGGACTCCTGTGACTACAAAATCTTCGATTTTCAGGTACAATTCCCCGCTAGTTCAAGTGGGTTTGATTGGATTAGTTTGCTTTTGTTGTCCCGGAATGTTCAACGCGCTCTCCGGGATGGGTGGTGGCGGCCAAGTCGATCCCACGGCGGCGAACAACGCCAACACAGCCCTATACACCACTTTCGCACTCTTCGGAGTCCTCGGCGGCGGAATCTACAACATTCTCGGCCCACGCGTCACCCTATTCGCCGGCTGCTCCACCTACATCCTCTACGCCGGCTCCTTCCTCTACTACAACCACTACAAACACCAGACCTTCGCCATCGTCGCCGGAGCAAACCTCGGAGTCGGCGCCGGACTTCTCTGGGCCGGCCAAGGCGCCATCATGACGTCATACCCTCCAGCTGATCGGAAAGGTACTTATATTTCTCTCTTCTGGAGCATCTTCAATATGGGTGGTGTGATTGGTGGTTTAATCCCATTCATCCTCAACTACAATAGTGGAGATAAATCTAGTTCTGTGAATGATGGGACTTATATTGGGTTCATGGTTTTCATGGCAATTGGCACTGTGCTTACTCTAGCAATTTTGCACCCGAGTCGCGTGGTACGCAACGATGGTTCTCATTGTACTAATATTAAGTACTCTAGTGTGTCTGTTGAATCTGTAGAAATACTCAAATTGTTCCTCAATTGGAAGATGCTATTGTTGGTTCCTGCGTCTTGGGCTAGTAATTTTTTTTACAGTTACCAATTCAACAATGTTAATGGGGTTTTGTTCAATCTGAGAACTAGAGGGTTGAACAATGTGTTTTACTGGGGAGCGCAAATGATTGGGTCGGTGATGATAGGACACTTGATGGATTTCAGTTTCAAGAGTAGAAGGGTTAGGGGATTTGTGGGTATTGCGGTTGTTGGTTTGCTTGGGACTGGAATTTGGGCTGGTGGGCTTGCCAATCAACTCAGATACTCTCGCCATCGTGAGCTCGAGAGGCTCGACTTCAAGGACTCGGGTTCTTCTTTCGCAGGGCCATTCGTGTTGTACTTCTTTTTTGGATTACTTGATGCCATGTTCCAGAGCATGGTTTACTGGGTCATTGGAGCTTTAGCCGACGATTCTGAGACCCTTAGCAGGTAATTTCTTCACGATACAAATCAATACAGGTTGATCATAGTTTTTTAATGGAATGTTGTTGGGTTTTTGTTGCAGGTATAATGGATTCTATAAGGGAGTGCAGAGTGCAGGAGCAGCAATTGCTTGGCAAGTTGATACACACAAGGTGCCATTTTTGAACCAATTGATTGCGAATTGGGCGATGACTACGATAAGCTATCCCCTGTTGGCGGTTCTGGTCTTTTTGGCTGTGAAAGATGACAGTACGACTGAAGAAGTGAAGACCAAGGAGATTGATTTTCCACCGGCTATGCCCATACCTGCCTCCGCAGATGACACTAAGGGTGGGCCTGGCAAGTCTACTTAAAATACCAGTTCTTTCTTTGGGTCTTTTATTTTTCTTCTTTGCCTCGAGTCTTTTGTTGTTGTAGTCTTCTTGTGGTGATATTTACAAATATTTTTAAAGTTGAATTTTCATTTGAATTGTGAATGTAGTGCATTAGGAATCACACTGTATTGGAAATACAGTACATACTTTGTCTGGAATTTTTTATTCTCAAATCCTTCCGACACATCTTCAATGTGTGTGATTCTTGTTGGGTATACCCCTTATTAGAGTATAAGATCCAATTGGTTTATTAAAATATTTAATTTGGTTTGGTGTTGGTTATATACCTATTTTTTGGAGGCTCAATAGATATTTAATAATCTGTTTGGTAACAGTTAGGGTTCCAATAAAAGCCCTAGAATCAACAATATATATATATATATTGTTTTTAGTTCTGCTTTTTGAGCTGCAACAGTGAATTGTTCTTCTGCGGGATAGTGCTTGGGTATGATTTGTTGGTGAGATTAGTGCTTGTTAATTTGGTGGGTTGGTTCTCAAAGTTCAGCTTGCTGTAAATTCAATTTGGTAGAATTTAATTCGGTGAAGCTATTTTTGATTTAGATTTGTGGTCTTTTTCAACTCTGTTTTGAAGATAATTTTGTTCATTTATTTGGTGAGGTATTTCCTCTTGTTTATTTGTGATTATTTGGAATTCACCTAAAAATATTTTGTGAGATCATTCGTGTCTCGTTTGTAATCGTTTGGAAACTTTTCGATTGATAGTGGAATTGGATTTTGATCCCGTGAACGTACCTCACATTGAGAGAATCACGTAAAATTCTTGTGTTGCTTTTGATTTAATTTTTCTGCATTAGTTTTTATTCCCATTGATTGATTTACTTGTAGGGAATCATATATTTTCCCTAACAACTGGTATCAGAGCTTACGGTTTATTTGAGTTTATTTATTTGTGTAAATCAATGAAGGGGAATGTGGGTTGTATGTCTAACTTCAATGGAAGCAATTGAGTAACTTGAAAAACTAAAATGGAGAACCTATTATTTTGTAAAGATTTGTATGGGCCTATTGAGGGTGACAGTGGCAAACCCGATGATATGCAAGATGATGAATGGAAGAGGCTTAATCGCAAAGCTGTTGGTGTTATCCGTTAATGGATTGATGACAGTGTGTTTTATCATGTTGTTATTGAAATTTCGGCACATGATTTATGGAAAAAATTAAAGCCTTTATGACAGAAAATCAGCCACAAATAAAGATTTTTTTTGTTTCGTAAATGGGTTAATTTAAAATATAAAGATGGTAACCTCATTCCAGAATATTTGAATGAAATAAAGAGTATTGTTAACCAATTTGCTTCTATGAAAATTATTTTTGATGATGAGTTGTAGGCTTTGATGCTACTTAGCTTTGCCTGAAAGTTGGAAGACTTTGGTTGTGACAGTTAGTAATTTGGCGCTCGATGGAGTTGTTACAATGAGCCAAGTCACTAGTAGTTTGTTAAATGAAGAAACTAAAAGAAAATCAGCTAGTTCCTCTCGTTTTAGAAGTATTTGTTGTGAGAGGCCGAAGCAAAACAAGGGGGAAGAGTAAGACTCCTCATGGTCGTGATCAAAGCCGTGACAAATCAAGAGATGATTCTTTTTCAAAGAAAGACATTGAGTGCTATTATTGTCATGAGAAAGGGCACATGAAGCGGGAATGCCGAAAGCTCAAGAATAAGGAGAAAAGACGTGACAAAAGTGTGGACAAGAAGTAAGAAGACACAATGACAGTTACTACTGATGATCTCATGGTCGTTTGTGAAGGATTGTATCAATTTTATAGGCCAAGAGAGCAATTGGATGATTGATTTCGGTGCTTTTTTTAATGTGACTTATTGAGTTGATTTCTTCACTACGTACACCAAATGAGATTATAGTTCTGTTCAAATGGGTAATGAAGGTTTGTCCAAGATTATTGGCATGGGTGATGTTTGCTTGGAAACAAATTTGGGCTGCAAGTTGTTGTTAAAGATGTGAGGCATGTTCCCAACATTCGTCTCAATTTGATCTCTACCGAGAAGCTAGATGATGAAGGCTACAACAACAAATTTGGTGATGGAATATGGAAGCTTACAAAGGATTCTTTGGTGGTGGCTAAGTGTAAGAAGACTCATACACTTTATTCGATGTAAGGAAAAATTTGTAAAGGTGTTGTTAATGCACTTGAAGATGATACTTGTACCGAATTGTGGCACAAGCGGCTTGGACACATGAGTGAAAAGGGGCTATAAGTTTTGTTCAAGAAAGAGCTTTTACCTAGTTTGAAAGGTACACATCTTAAAACTTGTGTTCATTATTTAGCGAATAAATAACATAGAGTTTCTTTTCATAAAAAATGTTGCTTTTAGAAAATAAAATGTTTTGGAGTTGATTCATTCAAATGTTTGTGGTCTTTTAAAAGTTAGAACATATAGTGGTGCACTTTATTTTGTTACTTTCATTGATGATTATTCAAGAAAAGTTTGGGCTTTTATACTAAACACTAAAGATCAAGTTCTAGATGAATCTAAGCATTTTCAAGCCATGGTTGAAAGAGAAACATGACATAAATTGAAGTGTATCTGATCAGACAATGGTGGTGAATACATTGGGCCATTTGACGAGTATTGTCGCAACCAAGGTATTCGGCACCAAAAAACAGTTAAGAAGACTCCTCAACAAAATGGCGTTGCCGAGAGGATGAACTGCAACATTGTGAAAAGAACAAGTTGTCTACTTTCACATGCTAAATTGCCAAGATCCTTTTGGAGTGAGGCAATGACAGTAGTTGACGTGATCAATTTATCTCCTTCCTATCCTTTGAATGGTGATGTCACAGAAAGAGTTTGGACCGGTAAAGATGTGTTTTATGAGCACTTAAGAGTGTTGGGTTGCCGAGTCTTTGTTCACATTTTAAAAGATGAGAGGTCCAAGCTTGATAGCAAGTCAAGACAATGTATTTTTCTTGGCTATGGGCATGGTGAATTTGGTTATAGATTGTGGGATCCGGTCGACAAGAAAGTCATTCGAAGCCGTGATGTTATGTTTCTTGAAGACAAACAATTGAAGACTTTGGCAAAGGTGATTAACCGAAGCCAAAAAGTAGTGATCTCATTGACATGGATCCATCTCCTTCATCTTCATTTGATGATGAAAATGGGAGAGATGTGCAGCCACCTATTGAAAATGTGGAGAATGATACTAATCCTAATGAACTTGAGCCAACAATTAAGGAAGAGCATTCAACTCAAGAACCGTCACCACAACTTGAGTTGAGGAAATCTACAAGGGACTGACAACCTTCGAAAAAATATCCTCCCAATGAATTTGTGTTGATTTTCGATCAAAGGGAGCCTGAGAGCTACCAAGAAGCAATTGAGCATGCAAAGAAAGATGATTGGAAAAAGGCCATGGAAGAGGAGATAAATTCCTTGCTTGAAAATCACATTTATGATTTAGTGAAGTTGTTTAAAGGAGGAAAATTTTGAAAAATAAGTAGGTTTTCAAATTGAAGAATAATGGAAAGAATCTGAGGTACAAACCACGCCTTGTTGTGAAAGGCTTTGGACAAAAAAAATGTATTGACTTTGATGAGATTCTCTCGTCGGTTGTGAAGATATCTTCTATTCGGGTTGTACTTGGTATGGCCGCAAGTATGAACCTTGAAGTTGAGCAACTTAATGTGAAGATCGCATTTCTTTATGGTGACCTTGAAGAATTTACATGGAGCAACCAGAAGGGTTTTCGGAAATTTTGTGGAAAAAGGGAAAGAGAAATTTGTTTGCAAATTGAAAAAAAGTTTGTATGGCCTCAAGCAAGTCTCGCAGCAATGGTACAAAAAATTTGACTCTTTTATGATGAATAATGGTTTTTCTAAAACCACTTCAGATCATTGTGTGTTTGTGTAAAATTTTCAGGATGGCAAATTTATTATTCTTTTGTTTTATATTGATGACATGTTAATTATGGGTCAAGATTACACTATGATTAACAGGTTGAAATTAGAGTTGAACAAGTCTTTTGCTATGAAAGATTTGGGGCTTGTAAAACAAATACTTGGTATGAAAATTGTTCGTGATCGTAAAAAGGGGCTGATTTAGTTGTTTCAAGAAAGGTACATTGAAAAAGTTCTTGAGAGGTTCAACATAGATAAAGCAAAGCCGATTGGTTGTCCACTTGCAGGTCACTCCAAGCTTAGTTCGAATCAATGTCCTACAAGTGAGAAAGACAAGGAAGAGATGCTAAAAATTTCTTATGCTTTAGTGGTTGGTTCTTTGATGTATGCCATGGTTTGTACAAGGCTGGATATTGCTCACGTCGTTGGTGTGGTGAGTTGTTCTCTCTAATCCAGGTAAAGAACATTGGGCAGCGATAAAATGGATTCTAAAATATCTTTGAGGGACTTCAAAGGTGTGTTTATGTTTTGGGGATGGTAAGCCGATGCTTGATGGGTTCATGGATTCTGACGTGGCCGGTGATGTTGATTCTAGAAAATCTACTTCGGGATATTTGATAACATTTGCAGGGGGAGCTGTGGCATAGCAATCTAAATTAAAAAAATGTGTTGTTCTCTCAACTACCGAAGCTGAATTTATTGCCATTATGGAAGCTTGCAAAGAAGAGTTATGGTTGAAGAAATTTTTTCAAGAGTTGGATTTGAAGCAAGAGAGGTATGTGCTTTATTGTGATAGTCAAAGTGTTATTCATTTGAGTAAAAATTTAACTTTTCATTCGAGATCGAAACACATTGATGTGAGATACCATTGGATTCGTGATGTGTTAGATTCGAAATTGTTGCAACTTGAAAAGGTTCACGCAGATGATAATATTTCAGATATGTTGACTAAGACTTTGTTGAGGTACAAACATTTAAAGTGTCGAACTTTGACGGGTATGGTGGATGTCTCCACCTAAGTCAGCAGGGGGAGAATTGTTGGGTATTCCTCCTTATTGGAGTATGGGACCCAATTGGTTTATTAAAATATTTAGTTTGGTTTAGTATTGGTTATAATATATTTTTTAATATATTATACCTAACTTTTGTAGGCCCAATGGGTATTTAATAATCTGTTTGGTAACAGTTAAGGTTCCAATAAAAGTCCTAGAATCAACAATATATATATATATATATATATTGTTTTTAGTTCTTCTTTTTGAGCGGCAGTGGTGAATTGTTCTTCCGTGGGATAGTGCTTGGGTATGATTTGTTGGTGAGATTAGTGCTGATCAATTCGGTGGGTTAGTTCTCAAAGTTCAGCTTGCTATGAATTCAAAT